AACACTTCCGGTCACACGGGAAGTAGCATAAACTTCCGGTCAAACAGGACGGAAGACCTACTCGTTGCTTTGCAACGAGCTTTGCTCTAGTTACTAATATTATTATTGCATATTTGGAAATGTACACCAGTAAGTTGTCAGGATCAAATCCAGTCGTTGTTTGTGCTCCAACAGGAACAGCAGCTAGATCTATTCAAGGTTTAACTTTACACTCATTGTTGAGTATTCCAGTTCAAAACTACACCACTTATGAAGAGCTCTCAAGTTTTATGCTTAGTAAACTGCAACGTGAATTTTTGAACATTCATACTATTGTGATAGATGAAATAAGTATGGTCAGTGATATGATGTTAACCTATATTAGTCGAAGGTTATCACAAATTAAAAGAAATAATGCTGTATTTGGTGGATTAAATGTAATTGTAGTTGGAGACTTCTTTCAGCTGAAACCTATTAAAGGAAAATATGCATTTCATAACAAACTGATATGGCATTTGTTTTCACCAGTGTTTTTAACAGAAAATGTTCGTCAAATTGAAGATCCTTCATATGCACAATTGCTTAATAGAGCACGTGTTGGTCTGTTAACATCACAAGATGTAAAGTTGCTTTTGACTAGAGTTAATGTTAGAGATACTGACTGTTTACACATTTTTCCATTACGAAGAGATGTTGCAGAATATAATAACTTAATGTTGACTGGTATGAATGAACATACTTATACTATAACTGCAGAACATTATTTCAGTACAGCAGACATCAACCCAGGTCAAAATGTACCAAATCATTTAATACCTACTGATGAGCGTGATGCTGGCGGACTTTTGCAAACATTACAAATTTCTGTCAATGCTAGAATAATGCTAATTAGAAACATTAATACTAAAGATGGCTTAGTTAATGGTGCCATGGGGACTGTTTCTTCTTTTACCTGGATTGGAGATGAAATAACAGAGATTAATGTTTTGTTTGATGATAGAAATGTTGGTCGTTTACATCATTCATTATTTAACAATGTTAGTTCTATAAGTGTTGAAAAAATTGAACATCATTTCAAAGTTTGTGGCAGACATATTGTAAGAAAACAATTTCCCCTAATTCCAGCATGGGCCTGTACTATTCATAAAGTACAAGGTTTATCTTTTTGTAAACTTGCTTTGGATATAGGCAGTAACATTTTTAAAAAAGGAATGGCATACGTAGCATTAAGTCGATTACGTACATTAGATGGACTTCAATTGCTCAAGTTTGATCCAAAAGTAGTGGTACCTCCAGATGATGTTTTAGAGGAATATGAAAGATTAAGAAATTTTTTGTTGTTTTAGTATGTCGTCAAAGTTAGATATTGCAGTGCATTAGAGAGTGAAAATGGTGCCAAATATTTGACAATCTGCATTACTTTGAGTTGCAAACCTTTCATGCTTATTATTTCAGCTACAGAATATCCTTAAGAATGAGTAATGATTCATGAAATATAACACATATATAAGTGTATATACCTTTTATTATTTAATTTACACTTTTGATGTTGTTATTAATGATATTAGTAGAAAATGTTTTTTCACATGGAAATAGAAATCTGGACTGTACCTGTCAGTTTAATATTTAAAATGGACCTGATAAAATTTTACAAAAAGTTTTGGATATTATTACAAAGAATATAATATGCTTTCTGTAATTCAATTCAACATCAAAAATAGTTCCTAAAATTTGTTTTCTCACTACCGTATTCAAAGGTAATTATTTTAGATTAGTTATACTGAATTTGTGAGCAGGTTTACCAGTTTACTTTACTTTCATGAGAGCTCCAAAATATTTATACTGAAATAATCTTTTATTTATACCAGGGTGATGACAAAGTCAGTTTGAGCTTGAAAATCCTTAAAAAGTCAACCTCCTTGCAGTCTTATAAAAAGGGAGACTCCCTGGTCACGTACTTCAATGTTGTTGCTGCGAACAAAGACAGTACTTTCATAGTCCGAATATATCTGAAACACAAATTTAATTTTATTAAAGAAGGGATGTCGTACAGGTTCACAGGTAAGAAACTACCTGCAATGCTCAGACATGATAGATTTTAACACAGAAAATAATCAGAACAAATGTACTTCTTGCATAGCCACACTTCATAAAATATGCGTGTTCAAGATTTCAAAATTCTATTAATACTATTTGAATCTCTTTTTTTAACAGACGTGATTAAGAAAGGAGACACTTACTGGGCCGTAAGTTCAAGTACAGTTGGTTGCATTGCACCTCTTAAAAATGTTGCCACAGCAGATATCGAACTCCCGGAAAATGAAAAGGCTGAAGGAGCTGCAAGGACTTTAATGGATGCACTCCAATGTCAGCAAAAGTCCGCAGTGAAAGGGAAGATTGTCCAGGTATTATTTCTATGAGACATTTTTATTCATTCCCAAAGTTAGGAAAATGTATATTGAAATTAGGATGTCGATACACATGATTTTCAATGGACCTGTTCTTAAGGATTATTTCATGGTTTATCTCAAAATTTGTGATCAGATAATGCGCCTGCTATATTTGTCTTGATTCAACATTGTTCTTCCTCATTTGTTAGGCTGTGGGCTTTAATTAGATTTCTTATTCTTAAAAAATAATGATAAAATGCCTAGTTAAATTCTAATATTTATGAACGAATTTAGGAATTCCTAATTAAAGTTTACAAATATATATCACCATTAAGTCCTTACTTTTGCTAAATTGGTTTCTTTACTGAAATATAAAGTGAGGACATAGTTCTCCATTTTACTTATTTCTGGTTTTCCATTAAACTTATTCAATTTTGTGAGCCTTTAAATTATTTTGTAGATCTCTCCTCTGAAACGAAGAAGAAATGGTACCCTCGTTGTACGAAGTATCTCCCTTAAAGACACCTCAGGTGTAGCCAAGGTATGCCTTTTTGAAGGCACAGCAGAAATGCAGTTCGAGAGAGACCAAATATTGGAAGTCACCTCTGTATATCCTAAGAGTTTTCAAGGTGCACAACAACTAACCGGATCAGTTAGCACAAAATGCCAGGTATTATACCAGCTACAGACAGTTTGAAGCTGTCACTACTCGTAAATAGGCATAGACCGCCATATTTCTCGTTCTTCAACGTTCTCCCTACAACTCGTATAAAAGGAGCAGATCGCTAGTCAGTTCAATGTATTTTACTATAGAGATCCGACGAGTGCGGACGTACATCTTTCAAAGCCTGCTACTCAATATCGATGAAATTATCAAATTTACATATTTTTTCCAAAACAGGATAAAAGTATCATGGAAAATACAGGTCAATACATTATATACAAACATAAAATCCACATAGAAACAAGAAATAAACTCCAAAAATATAAGATCACGATAGGAGAACTACATGTCGGCCACGAGTTTTGAGTGTGGAATTGGGTGTAACGAAAGCGAATGGTTTATATACCCGTCTGACAGTGCCTATTTATGAGAAGTGTTCAGCTTTAACATTAAATATGTTCCCCAAACAAAGTTGGGGAACATATTGTTTTTAATCTGTTTCTTATCATTATTATTAAGGTCTTCCGTTTCCAACGGAAGACCTTCTACTGATTCTGTTGTTTCTTTTCCACTATTATTTTTTTTTCTTACCGATTTTGTGCAGGCGATTTCTCGAGAACGCCTCGACAGTTTTTCATGAAACTTTCAGCAATGATAGGAAACTATTTGAACTTCATGCGTTTTTTTTTTATTTTGCCGTCGTCACTTCCGGTCGCTAGATATGGCCATTTTTCTGTTTTTAAAGTGTCATTTTGTACGAGAGTGTTCTCGAAAACGATTGAAGATTGGGTCCTGAAACTTTCAGGGATGATAGATTATGACTCGTAGATTTGAGAAGGCTATATGGTTTTTGTTGCCGTCACGTTCGTCGTCTACCGGAAGTAGTTTAAAAATATGCAAAATTTTATTTTTTTCTTTTTAAAATAATTCTTATGGAGGCAAAAAGAGTGTCTCGAGTAATATTATAACCACCGGAAGTTATTTTTTCTAAACCGGAAGTAGTCCAAAAAATGTCCATTTTTCCTCGAAATTATCAGGGATGACTCCTTTACACTCAGAAAGGAGTTAAAGCTCATTTTAAGTACTTCCGGTCACACCGGAAGTGAATTATAAAGACCGGAAGTTGTTTGAAATTGATAGATTTCACTCTTAAATGTGTTCTGACGTATTTTGAATAATTGATCTGAACACTTTTTTTTATTTAAAGTTGATTTATACCCTTATCAAAAATCGAACGGAAGACCTACTCGTTGCTCGCAACGAGATCTCATCTAGTTATTATTAAGGTCTTCCGTCTCCAACGGAAGACCTTCTACTGATTCTGTTGTTTCTTTTCCACTATTATTATTAAGTCTTCCGTTCACAACGGAAGACTTATAGTGATTGTATTGTTTCTTTTTATTATTATTATTATTATTATTATTATTCCTCCCAAATTTTGTGAGCGCGATTACTCAGAGATGGCTGGATAGATTTTCACAATTTTTCTCATGTATATAGGTAGATATATGAAGTTTATATAAAATTCCGTTTTTTGAAAAATTCACTTCCGGTCCGAAGTTATGGCCGATTTTCGAATTTTAAAATGGACTTTTGTCCGGCAGTTTTCTTGGAAACGGTTTGAGGTAAAGATATGAAATTTACAGGAGTATTAGATCATGATATTCTATTTGTTTTGAAGTTGTTTTCGTGTGTTTCCAGTACTTCCTGTCCGAACCGGAAGTGAATTTGTTTTTGGTCAATTTTTGATTTTTTTGTTTTTAGATATTTTTTCAAGATATTCTTATGTGAAACAGACATTTTTCTACAAATACTAAATATATAATTTGTTTTTAAATCAGATTCCGCATTTTGAATATTTCCGGTACCGAAGTTTTCTCTATTTACGTAGTATGTATAAGTTGGGCAAAGAAAGATAACTCTGACCTGTGAATGAGAATAGAACTTTCGAGATAAAGGCGGAAATAGTATTGATGACGTTAGAGAAATGTATACGCTCTCCAGATCAACAAATTTACACATTCAATATTCTCTCTTTTGCATGTTACTTAATCCACTATATGCATATTAATTTAAATTTGCCAATGGATGTGAAGTGTTAGTCTGTATATTGAAAGATTTTTATTTACAAATTTATATCTAAAAAAATATCCGTTCTGTGTCAACTAAGCACTTTGAAGAAAATAATATTTTACGCAGTATTCATTACAGCGATATAAATACAAATCATTCTACAAAAATACTAAGCATATTATTTATTCAATCTGATTCTGCTTTTTGGAGATTTAAGGTTCCGTCAATAAATTCATTTTCTTTATTTACATAGTGACAACGAGCAAAGATAGATAACTCGACTTGTAAGTGGGAATAGAACTTTCTAGATAAAGGCGGAGGTAGTATCCATGACGACGCAGACGTCTATATTTACACTTTTCACATAAAAAAAATAATTAGACTTCCAGTTTCCATGTCCACTTCTGATTGAAAGATTACGTTGGTTACTGCTTTTAGTATATGCATAGTTTAAAGTTGCCAGCGTAGTGTAAATCTGTAATGTCTGTTATGATTTTATTTAAAAAAATATTCTGAATTCATTCTCTAATTTGAATGCGAAATTATCCCGGAATCCGAGTTTTATTTTCGATTCTAAAATATTATATGTACTCAGAAGGGAACTGGGAGATATAAGACTAGGTGTAAAGCCTTTAGGAATAAATTGATATCTGCAACTTAAACGAAAAAAAATCAATCTATAGATTGGATTTGGTTTTAACGCGTGTATTTCATTGATTAAAAGTCTTATAGTGTTATTTATTTTACATGATCTATACTTTTATATACCCGAGAAGTTATTAAAGATGAAAAAAACGATTCTTGGATTTTTGTGAAATACAAGTACTCAAAGGGTTAACATTATGTGAAAGTTACGCGTTTCTGTGTGAAATAATGCCACGCTAAAAACATGATACAAAAACATCTGCAAAGGTCTGTTGATATGTTAGTTAAAGTATACGAATGAACACAATTTTATGCAATGCTATAAAATTATATGTATGTACATGCAACCTTAAGTATTTTCTTTTTAATTCATAAAACATAAAATTACCGAGTTTGTAATTCTTTTGAAGCCCCCCCCCCTCCTCTTGAATTTAATCGGAGACATTATTGCAACTGTAGGCCTTTGAATTATAAATTCGCTATACAATTAAATCTGGAACATTTGGTTATCATCACCATTAACATGTATACAGAATTCACATTCAATAAAAGTAGATTTTTCATTACGCAAGATACTGAAATTTACATGTTTGAGAGAGAAAGAGAGAGAGAGAGAGATTCCCTTTCAATCCTGATTATCCTATCCATTTGAATAGACAAAAAATAAGTTCTTTATCAGTTGTACCCATTCTTTATTAAATATTTTCTGATTTTATAGTCCGTCATAGTCACTCTCTGTATATTTTTTCTGCTTAAGAAGTATTACACTAAGTGCACATGTATTGACCTGTCTATCAAAATCACCGAAAGCTGTATGCATTGCAATAAAGTTGTTCGAAATGATTTTTAGTGAGGATGATCTATAAGAAAATCTGATGCAACACAAATTTGAGAAATGAAAAATAAAATAAAAACATGGCTATCTAGATCATCATATATCTGTATTATGGACTTCAGTTGTGGGACGTGGAGACCAGTCCGTCAGATGAGATCATTTAAATCGAGGTCCCGTGTGTCAGATGGTACTGACTGAAAAAGATTCCTCACTGCTCAATGGCGATTAGATCCAAATTATAGGACAACATTTTGCAGTCTACACCGGCGAGTGGAGGCTTCTCCATGTGAAAAATTCTCTCGAGGGACATTAAACAACATTTAATCAATTGATCCATTGCTGAATAATTCCTGTAGTTGAATAATCTTTCTGCTGACAAATCTCGTTAGTATTACTGTAAAAATCAACGACTTTATGTTTGATGTGGTACTAACTTATAGTTCATGACATTTTTATACTCCCATCACAATTGTGCCAGAACATAAACACAGTGAAGTTTATGAGAGTACGGTGTTCGTTCGTCCGTTGGTTTGTCTATGATACACGTGTAGCTCTTATGATTGCCAAAATGCATAAGAACAAGATTGGTAATGAAAATCAAAGTACTTAAAGTACTGAAAGACTTTTTTGCATTTTTTTTTCTTTCAGAGTACATATGATATCTATGTTTTTTTGCAGAGAAAAAAGCAAATTCTTACAGATTTAGAAGAACGGAAGACTTATTTGTTGCCATGGCAACAAGATTCTAGTTATTATTCTTTTTTTTCTTACCGATTTTGTGCAGACGATTTCTCGAGAACGCCTCGACAGTTTTTCATGAAACTTTCAGCAATGATAGGAAACTATTTGAACTTTATGCGTTTTTTTTTTATTTTACCGTCGTCACTTCCGGTCGCGAGATATGGCCATTTTGCTGTTTTTAAAGTGTCATTTTGTCCGAGAGTGTTCTCGAAAACGGTTGGAGATTGGGTCCTGAAACTTTCAGGGATGATAGATTATGACTCCTAGATTTGAGAAGGATATATGGTTTTTGTTGCCGTTGCGTCCGTCGTCCACCGGAAGTAGTTTTGAAAAATGCAAAATTTTATTTTTTTCTTTTTTAAATGTTTCTTATGGAGGCAAATAGAATGTCTCGAGTAATATTATGTCCACCGGAAGTTATTTTTTCCAAACCGGAAGTTGTCAAAAAAATGAACATTTTTCCTCGAAATTTATCAGGGATGATTCCTTCACACTCAGAAAGGAGTTATAGGTCATTTTAATTACTTCCGATCACACCGGAAGTGAATTATAAAGACCGGAAGTTTGAAATTGATAGATTTCACTCTTAAAAGTGTTCTCACGTATTTTGAATAATTGATCTGAACACTTTTTTTTCATTTAAAATGGTTTTATAACCTTATCAAAAATCGAACGGAAGACCTACTCGTTGCTCGCAACGAGATCTCATCTAGTTTTTCTTCTTCTTCTTCCTGGGTACTTTTTTGTCCGGGAATGATCTTGTAAACTGTTCATCCGATGTAGGTAAAACCTTTTTAGAGTTAGTAGACATGTTATGTAGAGTTGACTAGTCAAGGTCATTTTGCGCTCACGTGCTTGCAAGAGCGTGCGCGTGCAGCACGTGAAATGACCAATATAATAGGTCTAGCCGTAACTTTTTTTATTTTTTGATGAAATGCTTTGAAACTCATAATTTGATTATTTATTAGTAGTATAGACATGATGACATAGTCAAAATAGCAAGATCTCATGCGCACGTGCGCTTTCTTCTGATTGGCTGAAACTAAAGTCTCTATATCTTTCTTGTTTTTACACGACATCCTATAAAATTTTGAACATAGCCATGCATTAATATATTCTACAACATGATATATAGCATTTGTCATAAAATCACGTGCATGCACGTGCGCTGCAATCTGATTGGCTTAAACTTTAAATAGCTATAACTCCCTTGGTGTTCAACCAAACATGATGGGATTTGTAGCATAGATAGATATAATGAACATCTACAACATGATATGGTTGCCATGCACATGCATACACGTGCGTGTACTTGCGCTGTAATCTGATTGGCTGAAACTTTAAACAGGTATAACTGCTTTGGTTTTTAACCAAACGGAGTGGGATTTAGAACATAGAGAGATGAAATAAACGTCTACAAGAAGATATGGACAAAATGCTCATGTATGCACGTGCGTGCACGTGAAATGAGTTAAATAAAAAATACACTTGAATAAGGGTATTTTTAATTACTTTTCGATTAACACTTTAATATTTAGTATATTAAAATGTATAGATTGTGTAGACAAGATGATATGGTCATTTACATGCATTTACATTTAATTTACATGCGCACGCATGCAGTGCTAAAATTTGAATGAACTTGGCGTTGCTGAAGTCTCAAATGCATAGATCTTGTCCTATTTAATGAAGCTTACAGGGAATATGGCACCAAAAGGGAGTTGGGGAGCGTTTGGGGAACATCTGTAACGGTCCCCGTTACAATTAGCACTAGTTTAATTTACCAGGTATACCTTTAAACAAATAACTGAAATTGCATTATTCTGATTCAATATTTTCACCATAGCAGAAAATCCTTTTAATTGATACATCATTTCAATTACTGCTCTACTCATTATTTACATCTTTTGTTTTAAACATCTATTTTCAGTTTGTGCAGGATGAAAATTTCAACGATTTACAAGTAACGGATGAAGATTTCCTTGAAGACCATGACTTCGATGTAGAGGAGGATCTGTCAAATGGAGATCCTTTTCAAGTAATCATGATCTCTGATGCTTACAGATATCTGTGCTGTCCAAGTCCAGGTAACTTGAAATGCAGTAGACGCTTTTTTTTTTTATAAGATTACAAACTGTAAAAGGACAAATATTCGTGGGGGATTAATTTTTGTCGTTAACAATTATAAACGAAATTAAATCCAACACAAAATTTTATATTACTATAAATTGAATAGGGTTACTTTCAAAACAACGAAATGAAATGCCCACAAAACAATTTTTTTCAAGACAAATCAACGAAATTTTATCCCCATGAAACTTTTTGCTTATACAGTATTCACATGTAGATCAACTCTTTAGTGTTCAACTTAATTTTCTAGGAAAAGTGCTTAAAATTATTAACAAAGTTTTCCTCTGTATATTTATTCATGCAATTTTTATTTATTGTAGGATGTCGCAAAAAAAAATTATTGACAAGAAATGTCCCATTTGTGGTAAAGAATCCAACAACACATATGGAATCAGAATCACTGTGGAAGCTCAAAATTGTAAAACTAATGAGAGCAGTACAACATCCCTTTTCAACGATGATGTGACCAATTTGTTCACACTTGATCAGGATGCTCTAGCAAGTGCCGATGACTTGCTCTACAAACTGTCGTTAAAGCTCCCTGTTTCTTTTATTGCTAAAAAGATAGATAACAGGTTCTACAACATTGATAAGATGTAAAAATCATGTCCCCACTGTCTCCTCTTTCATAAGGTGATCTTTAACATGTGCTTGATTGCCCTCCCATAACCATTACACTTAAAAAAAAATATTCAAGACCTCAAGAAAACAACTTTGTCCATTAATTCCAATGTTTTTGTTCTATCATGTTAGTTTCGCATTAACACATGTCTTTGTATTAAAAAGAGAATAAATGCCATTGCATTCCTAACCCATTTTTGTAATCCCAACTCCTGAGAGGGCAAGAAGGCATTTTGAAAATGTCCTATTTGATGTTTTTGTATAAAATTTATTTTGTACAGAGTTTTGATTACTTTATCGTATTTCATAAGTCCAGCAAATGGATAGAGTTTCAAATTTTATTTCAATGATTTATGTACAATTGCATTCGTTGTGCCGAAGGAGAGGACAAGCTGACATTTTTGCTTAAAGATGTCCTAATTTTGTGTTTTGTATGATATATTGTACATTTTGTACGAAGTGTGTTTCCTGCACATGGATAGAGTTTCAAAGATTATTCAATGATTTTTATACAATTGCATTCCTCATGCAGATTGAATACATATTAACCAAAGTGGCATTGTTACTACATGTATGATTGTTTTACAAAGAGTTAAGTCATTTAATCATGTTTCATGAAATTCTTTGAATTAAATGATACGAGATGTTCAGTGCATTTTTGTTTATTATGCTTTTTTATTATTATATACAATGGATACACAGTTGTTCTCAGGCGCAGAGTATGTTAACTTTTTCTTGTACAAGTTTTACATTCCACAGTATTTTCAAACTGTTTTCATTTATCTTTTAAGTTTTATTATTATTTTTTTTTTGCAGGGGTATGAAACTCAGAAATGTTGATATGCCCGTTACATTTCTTTTTTCTTCATGTGAACTTTTCATTATTACATATATAATGCATATGTTGAATTTTTTATCACTCATTCCATCAGTGTTTTATTATGTATTATTACAAGTTTATTTTTCATGCCTGAAAGGAATTCCATATGTGTTTTGTTTTACATTCTTTTTAAGATATATACATGAGATGTGTTTAATCCTATGCAAATACTTAATATTCATCAAATTTTATAGCAAATGCTTTGTTTTAATTGTCAAAGGTTATTGGTATATTCATAATTTTAAGTTTATAATTTTACATAGGCTTACTCCTATATTTTCTCATCCTAAAACAAATATTTTGATATGAAAGAAACATTCCTATTCTTCCACTTAAATTTTCTTATTCATGTCAGAAGTAAGAAGTATTCACTATCCATTTCATATGTCCAAATAAGAAAATTAAATCATCACTTGGTGCACTTGTTGCCAAAAATGCATATATTTTCTTTTATTAACAGAGGTAATTATAAGGAAAAAAGTGCATATTAAAATAAAATAGTTTGATTACAGCAAACGATTTCAAATGCTAACATTTAAATGACACGTTTTAATTTTTTTCAAAAATATGTCCACACGTTGCATCCATTAAATTTGGGAGGATAACAAAGATTATTGCCCTTTCCTTAAACTTCTATCATACAGATTTGAATACACCCCCCCCCCTTTAATTCTAATGAAAATGGAGTACTCCTTTTTTTTTTACAGGTTTTGTTTCTTGTTTACAAATGTTGTTTAAAGAATAAACTACTGAAAAAAAAAACACATGTTTGTGTAATTCTTTAACTCGTATGCACATCATTTGAAGTGTTCTATTAGGAGGCTCATTACAATCATTTCAGTCTCATTATAGCAATACTTTTCATGTACATTTCCAATGATTGCCTGACGTCACGGCGTCAGGCTGTATAAGGATTGATAATTGCTTGATCCGAAACTAATAGATCATACCGAGAGAGCTAGATTTTGTGCAAGCTGATTTACATTGGAAATATTTTACCTGCATTTTAAAAGAAACTTTTCCTCAGGGAAACAATGATTTTACTGATGCAAAGTAATGCAGTATTTACTTTGTTTACACTGTTTGCATGAAACAGATTATTCCATGTGATTTACCGTTTCAACATGTCCGTGTATCTTTTTTTCTGCATTTCTATACTACTGGATCAGTCCATTTATGTTCTAAAAAAGGGGTGAATCGGTCTTTTCGCGCCAAATGTCACGAGTATGCGATCTTCGCACCTTTTCTTGGGATTGTTCTATTGTATGAATGTGGGTGCTAACTTCCATGGAATTAAATAAAGTTTGTTATTGCAAACTCCATCTTCCTATGTTTCAGAAATTCTATCTACAACCAATATCTTATTCCTTAAAACAACATATGAATCGTATGTATCAGAATATGGGCATGCAAAACAAATGAAATGATTTCTCTTCTGTTGGTTTATTCCATATTTTAATGGACTAGTCCAATAAACACAAACGATCGACGCAGTTCAACCAGGTTCCAGACGATTTGACGAAAGAAATAACCTGTGCGAAATCTTGGATTTCTTTTCCACACAAGCGTAAATGCTGGTTTTACCTATTTCATCCTCACAAAATTATAGTACCCACGTTTCAAGATCAATGAACACAAACAACTACTGTTTACTTCATTGGAGAAAATGCTTTCCTACAACATATGTATTTAGTTATATCCATTTTCTAAAATGTTCACAATGAGTGATTTGACAACAGATTTCAGAAAAGGTGTAGTTTTAAATTTAGATCCAGGGGTAGATCAATCTACTTGCAGAAATTTAATCGCATCATCTCGGGTCTTTTCGTCAGAGGTCAAAAAACAAACTCGAATGTATCGACATCATCGGATGTTAAAATTTTTTACATTTCCTCTTTATAGTAAAAACAGAGTTAGAAGTAGTATATTTGAGATAATATCATTAAATTGAATAAAGGTAACTCCATATTCCACAGAAAAAAGGATTATATACATCATCCATGCTTTTATTTCAAAGTTTGTGAAAGGGGGGGGGTGTCATGACGTATAAATTAAAAAAAAAACATTTGTGGTCTCCTTTCGTAGATAAGGCCCGAGGAGTGGGACTGAGGAGTTGCGATTGGCAGAAAACCCACTTACATTAACCATTCTTCTAACAACTTTTCAGAATGCACGGGGGCGTAGCAACAGGGGGGGGGGGGGCTCCCTTTTTTCCCAAACTTAATTATACTATAGGAAATCTGAAATTTTTTTTGTTTGTCAACTTTTTCAGGTAAGTAAAAAAAAATTTCACTGGCTGCCCCCCCGACCCCCCAAACTTTCAAAATCGATGCTACTCCACTGATGCAGCAAAGATATCGTTCTTTTACAAGTTAAATAATTAAATATTTTAACAAGGTTCTCAAATAAAAAGACAGCACAAAAAATTGCTCAAAAGGTTTGTCACTTCTCTCACAGATATTGATTGATTACGTCAGGCAAGCTTTTTGAAAAGCTGTTACTTGTTTCAAATGGAAGTAATGCTATAAACATTTAAATGCATTTTTCTAAAAACTTCATTAAAACGTGCTGTAACTTGCCTCCTCAAACAGTTTGCGGCCGATTTGATGCTTTGCATCAATATTTATCTTGTAATAAAATGTTGTGGAAGAATTAAGAAGTTAAGCAGATCAACATTAAAATATTTTTTAATTGTTTTACAGAGGAGTTGTTATGTGCAATCAAATTCTATAATTAATAAAGATTTTATCACCGATTAAACAATTGATTTAAGTCTTCCTAAAGCCAGAAGCTTATATATTATGTTCTTGTAAAACAAATCAACGCATGATCTTTGAAAGATACATTATCGAAAGAAAGAAATTATATAACACTATATAATTTCTTTCTGCCTTATGAATTTAGGCAAATAACAAACATTTAAACAATATTCTGGTACAGAATGCGAGGTTATACATAATTATTTACTAATCATACTTAACCCCCCCCCCCCCCCCCGAATCAAATAGTCGTCCTCTTATCTATATTTCGTAAACATTTGTTGCAGTTGGCAAATTCAAAAGAAAATCTTGTATCTCGGGACTTGCTACAGCAGGAGGGAATTTAACAAAGTTGAAGATTCGATAAAGAAGTGGTTCAGGAACAGAGAAAATTTACAAGAGTAAATGGCCAATGTTTCAGCACCTGGATAGATTTTTAAAGCCCCATGTGAAGAAAAGGAAGTCGAATTTAGGAATATGCTCGGTACTTCCGACATTTCAACAGGGAGGGAACTTTATCGTGCAACACCTATTGTGACACAGAAGCTTGGTATATACGGCCTTATCCGATGGACCGCCCCATTTAGTCGCCTTGTACGACAAGCAAGGGGGTACTGAGGACCTATTCTAACCCGGATACCCACGTGCACGGGGCTTTTTCCTAGAAATGTTGCTTTGAAATTTTGTAGGGCATCAACAAAAGAAATTCTGACACAATGCTCAGTAACATATTGGAAAGGCTCAACAATAGGAATTATGAATATTTCATTTTCAATCTAATCAGCATTCTCAACCAAAGAAATCCATTTCTCTTCCAGGGCATCAGCTGCGTGTCTTGCATTTCTACCATGTCTTAAAGAGACGTTCATGATATAAGTGAAAATATTGTTCAATTTCATTTGGGATGAAAGTGAATAAATTAAACAATTATTATAATTGGGTGTCATAGTTATTCTAAGATAGCCTATATATTGTCAGAATCAGCTGGTGTTTCAATTCTTAGTACCGATCACAGTGTGATATACGTGAGAATCTCAAATTAATAGGTATGCAGGTTTATGTATTATTCAAATCAAATTTAAAATACCAATGTATGTTGACTTTCAACTTATCGCACTGGATACATTTAATTAATATGTTGTCTATCACACATAAATACTAGCTGGTATTAATTGATTAAATTGCTTTATATTTAAAATTAAACAAAACAGTATTCTAATTTAATGCAGGTATAGTATAACATGTATGGATACCTAACGGTGACAACTAAGTACATGTCTACGTTATTTTTCCACACCACACACATCTCCTTTCATATCTGTGTCCAAGTTCCTTCGTTAGCCTCTGGGAGGAGATAATGCTGGACCCGGGGTTAACTGCAATATAACTGTATATGTTATATGAAGTTCTAACCCATTGTACGCCCTAACTCCCAGCCAGGTATTACAAGGAAAGGAGATGCTATTTTGTTTACTGTAAGGAATTAGAGAATGAAGTTATTGACTAAGTTTAAAGAGTAAAGTAAGGAATAAGAATGAGTCTTGGTATCAGGAAATTACAAAGTGGATTGGGATTTGGATTTACAATTAAAATAAATTTAGCGTAATTTTTTTAAGAAATGTGTTTCTTTTGTATTTATTTTTTTTTTTTTTTTTGACATTGAAATTTCAATTTAAGAATTTCAAAAAGGCTTAAGTGACACCGACCCAAAAAGAAGATGAGGATATGGATTTGCAATTTAGTAATTTTTGTATAATATTTAATCTTAGGAAAATGAAAATAGAATAATGAAGTCATCTGTCTTTTAATTTTTTT